TTTTTCAAATGATGGATGAGGAATATGGATAGAACTGATTGGGGCTTAACCAGTGCCTTAACACGGTTAACACGGTTAAGCAACCAGACATTCTAACCTCTGTATCCTCGCTACTGATTCAGATTGGAATTCGGAACATTTCATTGCAATGAGCGAATAATAGGCAAAATAAGCATGTTATTACACGTTTCTCGAATGAAATTGAAGTGCAGAGAAAGTCTTTGGATTAAACGATCCATCATTTTCGGTAACTGGAAAATGTCAAAGGCATACTACGAAAAGGTTTGGGGAAAATAAAGAAGCTTCTACCCTCTAAAACGTATCATATTCTAGAAAGTATTGACCACACCAAAAGTCGAATTGATATGAGATACTTCAATCATTAGAAAAAAATAATTGAACTTCGACCCTCTGTATCTCCGCTACTAATCGGAATCGGAAACATATTTATTTACACTTTTTCAATCACAATGATGGAATCTATCACCCATTGCAGTTTGTACCTTAAAACCTGAATCACCCTCCATGAAGGATGCCAACTCGGTTGCAAAATGTGATGTTTCAATCGGAAATGGTAAAATAATACACGTCACTGAATTTCCGGATAACTGCTGGCCACTGACTGCCCTTCTCAATAAAAGAAATGTCATAAGTCTCAAACGTTTCGCCTTATGATATCGCTCCATGGAGAGAGAGACTTCATCTATATTCATTTCTGGAGCAACTATGTGAGAATATAATAGTAATGCAAGAATGCTTACAGTTCGTTTCCTTTTTGTTCTTCCTATAAGGAAGTAGATACGCAAATACTGTTCACTAAATGATTTATCCAAATTTCGCAGTAGGTTTATATCTTGGCACAGAGAGAGAATAAACATCCTTGCCAAAAAGAAAACTGATTCTGCGTTTTTTGATCAGAACTATGTTTGAGGTCACAGCGAATGCTGCCAATACGATTATGCTCTACTGGGCAAAAAAGCAACAACTCAGGTATAAACCTCTGATATATCATTCATCCCTAGTTTATCCTGAATGGCTATCCAGACCCAGTTAGGCCTCATGAATCTTCCTCTAGCAAAAATAATACATCCAGTTGAACTATTCAATCGAGTTAATTGATCCCACCTAATCCTGCCCATAACTGATCACAGTTCACCACTTGCTTCAGCGTCTAACCTCAATCCCTCCCAAACCATGTCAAAGTTGTGGATGGATTCCCAGCACTTAAAGCACAAAGAACGCCTTCCATAGTCCAGTGGATGGAGGATACAAGTGTGATTAAGTGGACATAAGACAATCAAATCGAATAATCTTCCTTTCTGGTCTTCAATCAATCACAAGACTGAATATAAAGTCATGTATTTTGCTTTCAAATCAATCAGCCATATTTTTTATTAGTTCAATCATCATAACATGTCACTCTCTGTACAGGAATCTTATCTTTCAATACTTGCATCATTATATCGTTAATTATTCGAACTTTGAGCTACACTGAGAAAATAAAATTTGTATAACTAAATGTAATGGTGCATGGTTTCGAATTAGTTTCATCAAACACAACACAAATTCGTGATATCACTTATTTGAGTGATCAATACTCAGACAAACCTATTGCATTCCACCTCCAAATATCAATAGTTCAAATTATTATTCACCACAACATCGAATAACATCCATATCCAGTAATTAATAAATATCTCTCATGTATTGTGTGGTATTAGGTTTGTGTTGGATGTTACTCCCATGATATTTATATTAACCACTACGTATTAGTGCGTACGGTAATAATAATATGTTCACTTTTTGTGATGTACAAATCTATAACACATCAGAAAGTAATATGCCGAAATCACGAAGCCGATCGTCGACGTTCGTTTTTTTTTCAATGAAGGTGGCTTGGCGTTGGCGTGGTGGTTTCATCGGTTCAAAGTTCATCTTTCGTTGCGTTCGTCTCGAGAATTATGACTGAAATAATTTTCATTGGCCCATGGAGTTTACATTTGCAGTGCATATGTATATAGTGTAAGTACCTACTGACCTACAAACTGTGGTACTGTGAAGTGCGAACTTTACCTGATAGTGGTAACTCGAAGAGTTGTTACTGGTGTTCAACAGTGAGTAAAATACCTATTCGTTTCATTTTGAAACTGAAATGGCAGGCAAACGTTGCACGCGTTATGGAGGAGAACGAGAAAATCTCAATTTTGTTGCACACAAAAATCAAATTTTCACAAATAATTCGATCATTCTATTGAAGTAGACGATATACTTCCGAGAAATTCTTTCAAAATCCAGATCATAAGATGTCTATATATATATATATATAACAAGGGGAAGCTTTCGTGACTGTTCTATAATAATATTCTTGGAAATATTAGTGGGATGCAGTCTGGACCAATGGATTAATTAAATTTCTTCGTTATTTGTCGAGCTTTCGAAAATTTTTATTTTCTTTATCAAGACTAACTGAAAAGATAATAAATCAACTCGTCCTCCTTGAATGATTCATGTTTTATATATAATCTACAAACATTTTTTATATATCAGTATTTTTATATATATCAGTATTTATCTCACTCTGTATTCAACATCTTCAAATGAGTCAACCATCATCTATGACATTTTTTGTCAAATCATTTCATTTTATTTATACACCTATGTTTCCTTTTTGTGCTAATTTTATATAGAATTTCATGTTTGTAAGTATACCAATTTCAATTGATGTACATTTATATATTGTTCCATTCGATGTTTTCAGTTAGTCTTGATAAAGAAAATAAAAATTTTCGAAAGCTCGACAAATAACGAAGAAATTTAATTAATCCATTGGTCCAGACTGCATCCCACTAATATTTCCAAGAATATATATATATATATATATCAACTGGACTATTATTGGTAGGGAATTCGCACTTCCAATTCAAGATGCACAAAAGTTCTCTCTGATAATTTGAACCATTTCTCTGTAAATCAGAGGCAATTCAACTTCCAATAAGTTCTCGAGAAACTTTGTACGATTCTGCTATATTTGTTGAATATAGAGGCACGCCATTCTTCATATATTCTGCTCTCTCCAACGATTATAATACATAAACTCAATCACTTCTGAAAGTTTTGATTATCATTCATCATCGCGAGAGCAATAATTTTAGTTTTTTTCCTCAAGAAAGTTCAAATACTTTGCTCAGATGATTCAATTTGTGACTTTTTTACTAGAGCGAGTTTGCTGTGCAGAATGTTCTATTCAATTTTCATAGTTCAATGATTTGGGAACGAGGAGAACGAATCGAACATTGATTGAAACCTCGAATTATTTCGCCAAAGTATTTATGCAGGCATACTTTTCATCATACTCTTGTCTCATTACTCTAAGACATCGGTCTTGAGAGCTGAAGACAGGGCCTGATTAACCATAGGCTGATTAGGCTGCAGCCTAGGGCGCGAAGATCGGGGGGGGGGGGGGCGCGCAAGACGCGCTAAAATCGTGTCTTCGCATGCACTCATCTACCCTACATATTTCAACTAGACCGGGACAAAACAATAAAACGAAATGCGCTTGATAGTCCCTGATTTTAACAATGAATTTTGAAATTTTAAAAAGCGCGCGTAAGAAGAAGAAAGAAACAAAAATTTCATTTTGATGAAGTTAAAACGGGGCACATTGAGTTAGGAAGAAGACGATTTTTCATCGTTGATAATTATTATGCAGCTATTGATTGTCTTGAAGTGCATATAAAAAACCGGCAAATCATTCATACAGTAAACACAAAGTTTGGTTTCTTATGGAAACTGCATGAACTAGACGACAGTGAATTTATTAGAAGCAGAGCAAAGGAGTTGAAACAACTATATGCTACTGATTTAGAAGAATCCATTGCAGAAGGATGTGTCCATTTGGCGCAGTTTTCAAAATCTGACACCGAGGTCGAGCGTTCTCTTTCTGCCAGAACCCCAAAGGGTTTGTTGCAGTTTATAAAAACTTTTAATATTTTAAGCATGTTCCCGAATGTGGAGATAATATTAAGAATTTCTTTGACAATGAGTGTTACCAACTGCAGCGGCGAAAGGTCTTTTTCAGCACTGAAGAGAGTACAAAATTACTTACGCTCCACACTCCGCCAGCAAAAGCTTGCAGCGCTCTCTCTAATGTACATAGAAAGTGATATTCGTCAAACTATCGAATTTGAAAAAATTGTGGAAAGATTCGCAAACGCTGAAGCAAGAGAAAATACCTTATTGTAAGCAAATAATAATTACTCAATTATTATGATTTTCAAATAAAACATTAATCAGTTGCAGAAATGTTTCACTTGTATGATGCCTCTCGTCGTTAAGATTACAGAAATGTAAATATATAAATGATACTTCAAGTCGAAAACTTTTATAAGTAGTATGCACCATGTCAAAATTTTTATACTAGTAAACAAAGTCAAGACTAATATACTACTTTAGGCCGACCGTAATACTCATGGCGTGGGCGCGTCCTCATAATTAGCCTAGGGCGGTCAGAACTCTTAATCAGGGCCTGGCTGAAGAACAAATTCACTAAGAAACAGAATCAGTCCTGTCATAAGGAGGTGAAGTTTTTTGCATTTCGCATTTCACATACCTATCACGTTTTATTATTCATGAATTGCCTTCTCTACATATATAAGAAAGCAACATAACATTATGCACCTATATCACTATGCTTGTAGATGCTGCAAGCTACTGATGCCTAGAGGTCACTGGTGAATGAATCATTCTGAACAGTTGATAGACCCCGCAAGATATAGCAGTAGATACCATCGATACCTGCGATATGAGTCAACCCTAACCTACGTTCGATGAAATCCACTGCCATCGTCAACCCGTGAGTATCCTTGTCACAGTCGTTCAAAACGTGCATAAGCACCAATAATATTCGGTATCGCGAAAACACTGCCCAAATTTATCTGATCGATGGTGAACATCATTATTTCAGTTAGAAGCAACAAAAAGAGCCAGATGCTGCAACCTACTTATGCCAAGAGGTCACTGGCAGATGAAGTCTTTAAACAGCTAGCAGACTTCAAGAGAATGCAGAAGACATCATCTAAGTCAAACTCACCTCTGATGATATCAACTACCATCTCCTGCCCGTGAGTATCCTTGTCACAAGCGTCCAGAACTTGAGCACCTATAATAATGTTCAGTAATTCGAAAACACTGTCCGAATTGATCTGATCGATGGTGGCAATCATGGTCTCAACCATTATTTCAGTCAGAAGGAACAATTTTCAATGCGCATACGTAGTGACAATCGTTGAATATGAAGAGAGCCAGATGCTGCAATCTACTTATTCCAAGAGGTCACTGGCAGATGGAGTCTTTAATCAGCTAGCAGATTCCAAGAAAAAGCAGAAGATACTATCTAACTCAAACTCACCTTTGATAAAATCAACTGCCATCTCCAGCCCGTAAGTATCCTTGTCACAGTCATCCAGAACGTGAGCACCTATAGTAATGTTCGGTAACGCGAAAACACTGCCCGAATTGATCTGATCGATGGTGAACATCATGGCTTCGAGGGCCTGAATACCTCCTTGCGGCATAACCGGACCACAGGTGATAGAGTCCTCTCTTTCGTGCACCATCATCAGACCACCGATCACTATGTCACCTTCCACTAATGCTTCTCGTTTCACGGGCCACGGATATTCCTGGAACACTCTGGTCTGAGTGGCGCTTTTGAGGAGGTTCGCATCACTTTCATTCGTGAAGTACATTTCTGAAGGTGTTGGTGGAACGATCTGCTCGGATAAGGGCTCGGATGCTGTCGTATTTTCTGAAACAGAAATGTTCGTTAAGGAACCTACAGATTCACCAATGGGCAAGTGGACTGGTGGTGGATAATTGGCATTCAATTACTTCACTGTATCGTTGGGTACCTGATGCCAGGTAGTATATCATCTTGGCTGAATCCTGATTACTTCATTGGCCGATATATAGGTATATTGAAAAGTAGAAATTATATTGGTTCAACAAGAGAGTATATTGAGAATGCAAAATTGGAATAATAATATTGGTGCAATATTGGTTTATCCTGACCTAAATGTGGATTGTCAGCTTCAATATTGAAGCAATAGTGGTTGAAAAATTCGTACACAATATGTGGAAGACCATATACAGGGTGAGTCGAGAGAAACGCACTAAACTCCAGATGTATATTGTACACGTGAAAATAATTTGAAAAAACCCATTTGTTTTGATACAATCCCCATCTGTTTTTATTCCAAATATGAATTGATTTCGTGGCATTTAATAAGACTTCAATTATACAAACTCGATTGTTTCATAGTTTTTGTTGTTCTGACATGTATTGTGTTGGTGTTAGTGTCAGTGTGTTTGACTCGTTTAATTTCGAGTTTGTACGATCGAAGTCTCATGGAAAGCCACACATCTATTCAAATTCAGAATAAAAACAAATGAGAATCGTGAAAGAACATATGGGTTTTGTCAAATTATTTATACCTGTACAATACACACCTGGAGTTTGTTTCGTTCCTCCCGACTCACCCAGTTTATAAATATTATATGATATCATTCCACAAATATCGGTGCAACAACATCGTATGCATATCGTTTTCAACAATTATAACCAATATTGAAATTTGAACAATCTACCTATGTCGATGCTGAAGCAGTAATGTATTATTGTATATTCGAGTTCCAACAATATTTGACACATCATATTTACCTATACTGATTGATCGTTTCAACTATAACATGCGGAAGATATCGAATGCATATTGTTTGAAAGATGAATATCTATATCAGCAATTCAATATTTTTCTTTATATCGGTTATAGAAGTAAAAAACAATATTATATTTCCAAGTTCAATAGCGTATTAGTTGAATAGATTTCCAGCAATATTTAAAAAGTAATAATATACTATATTGGTAAATATCTGATTCATTATATCATGGGAGCAATATTGTTAACATAAATATATATTACATTACACTGTTTCACCACTAACCAAGCCGATTTTTAACTGCCTCGACACGTGTTTCGCTAACTATGTTAGTATCTCCAGGAAAAGATTGAAACAGTTTTAATTTAATATGAAGAGAGTATTTGGAGTTATTATATAAATGGTTGTTTACAAAATTTTTATGAGAATTTGAATTGCATGAGTAAATCATCCGCATGCAATATAAACAAGATTGTTATTCGTTAGAAAATCATGAAATGTCAATATGCAGAACGAAAAAAAAACACTCAATATTCTTATAGTGATAATTCGAGTTCATTCTACATTCATAGAGAGTTTGATAAGATTATAATCTCAGAATTTGGAATTATACAAGAAAACATCGGAATCCAGAGTAAACGAAAATGGGAAAACGGAGTAAATGTTTCAGAATATTCTCCATTCCAGCAGCTTCTAAAGATTTGGAATTATTGTTGGAGGATTCAGAAAACATGAATCCCACAAACAATAGAAAATTAAACAGTTCCTAAAGTATGTACAGGGTATCTCACATTTTATGGGCCACCCCTCTATCTGGTAAACTAGAATAGATATAAAAACAATTGAAAATCGTTGTTTATAGCTACGTAAAATTTATTTTTCAGATAATGTCAACTATTCTTCAGAATTCACCCTTAATCTTATTCGGTCCTTGAATAGAGCTCCGAGAGACGAGTTCATCGATATTATATAAAAACATGGGTGTTAGATCACCTGTTTTGGACTTATCCATGATCTTCTTCAATAAATAGCCAAATCTCAAAGCCCTATAGAAACGTTGAGTAGGTATCAAGTTTTTGATGCCCATTTTTCGTCATGAATTACCAAATTCTACATGTTATCTTGAAATTTCGTCAATATTTAGAAATCTCAGGGTTTGCCAAAAATGATGACGTATTCTGCAACCATCATTTCCACGAGATTTTCAAATGGAATACCCTGCACTTCATTTCATCATGGATAAATCCGAAACGGATGATCTCAGATCCATGTTATCATATATCATTCAACTCGTCTTTCTGAGGTCTATTCAAGGACGAAATCGTATGTTTGGTATATATCACCAGGCATACGGATCATCCAGTTTAGTTGACATTATCTAGTGAACAATGTTCATATGACTATAAAAAACTTCGATTCTAAATTGTTATTTGTATCTATTCTAGTTTACCTGATAAAGGATTGGCCATGTTATGTGAGATACCCTGTACAGTGATTTTAAAAAGTGAAAAGTAGACCGATCGAAATTCAGGAAGCTTGCAAACTCTTCAAGAATCTTAGACACGATGTTCATCGAAGTAAAACGGAAATTCACCAATATCCACTTTCACTTCTGCTGGCAATTTCTCCAGAAGTTCTACTGAGGAGGGGCAACATCGTTGCGAAAATACGTATTTCTAATTTTTCTGAATATTATTTTCGTGTTGAAAGAAATTTTTTTTATCGCTTGGAGCGCACGAAAGGAAATCCCTATAATGTTCAAAGAACATCGTGTGTTCCTAGGAAGGATAGGGAAAGGAGGTAGGTATTGGAATTTTTTTTGAACTTCTGGAGATTACTCGGGAGATTATATGTTGTTGGGAATACTTCCACAGGCAATGAATTCCAGAGCCTAGCCGTTCTATGGATGGAGGAGTCTTGATAAAGTGCTGTTCGACATCTTTCGAGGTTGACAACGAAAGGATGTGCTGACTGGGCTTGTCTAGTTCGTCTGATTGGTGTTGCTAGTGAAGGGATGATAGCAGAGATTTCCAAAGAACATTTTCCGTGGAAGTATGATAGAAAAGTGAAAGGTCGCCGACCTTTCTACGGTGTTCCAATGATGCAATCTGTTCGTTTTTGAATTGGTGGAATGGTCTTCATCAATATTTTCTTACTATATGTAATTCTGGTGAATGGGATGAACTAATTTGGAAATTTGTCACTGAAGACGACCGGTATTCTTTCTCAGAGTAGATAAATGAGAGGAATATTGAATTATTTTATGTAACACTGAATAACCTGAAGTAGGTTCGTCAGTTGTAACAGGTTGACAGCTGTGTTACCGTTACCAAGTACACCCTTATTCGATGATTCAATAATTATTAGCAGGAGCCTAATAGCCATAATTACATCCATAATCTCTATTGATAGTTCAGCTATAAGAATATCATAGGCACATTAATGAGTGAAGCTTGCTGTCTCAGTTTCAGCTTCCCTCAGATTTAGAAGTGTTCCTGCCATTCTAAAATTTGCAATATCATCTTTGGTCCTTCAAAAATTCAAATCATTGCATTAGACCACATTTTCATTGTGATGGATAGGTTATTATCTACTGTGTATTTGGAGATTGTGCAAGAAAATGAGAATGAACAAAATATGTTTCTCCCTTCGAACAAGATTACTCTGAGAACCCCAACCGGGCAATATTTCCTGCATCCTTAGTTCCTCTTCCACAAGACATCCATAAAAACAAACATATACTCACAGTATAGACCCTATATACTTTTTCGAGCTGAGATAACCCACATCGAAACTTCCGTCTCCTTTGGCTTTTTTCCTGGGGATATTCATCTCCTTCCAGATTGATGTTATTTATCTCTTTCAGCTCGTAGTATTTCGGGCAGCTCATAAGATTTGAGTTTCAAAGTTCTACTCGATCGCTGGAAGTTTTGATTGCCAAAAATACGTATATGAAATAAAAATGATAAAGAGGGTGCAAAAATAGAAACTTCACAGATCCAATGAGGAAGATGTTGGGAAACATCATCAAACTTTTATGCAGTGAGAAATGTTTGTTTATTTTTGATAGGGTAAGTGAGTTGATTTCGAATGAGAAATACATATATATGTTTCGAAGTATTTCGTCAATATATTTTCAGAATTCCCAGAAATTTTTTCCACTGTTTGAAAGTTACAGTCCTGCTAGATCAAATTTGAGATCAAACCAACGTAGGTGATCCCCATAACTTCCAGTGGTGGTGATATAAATCAGGAGGGGTGGAAGAACTTACAGTCACAACTCCACCACATAATTAATTTGATAATGACCAAGGGTCAAAGACATAAGGACATGTTTCGAAGGATTTTTTCTTTATCTTCAGCAAACTCATAAAAAGAAAATCTGTAAGGAGAAACAACGCTCATGTTAGTATTTGAGTATTTATTAAAAATCTAATTGTACCTACCATTATTGGTGGTTGAAGATTACTCAAGAAACGTGAAGAAAGACTGTTTTTTACCTGCTCATAGTGCGGGTGAGTAACTGTTAGGGAACAGACATTATCACAGCTCTATAAGAGCTTAGTTTTCAAACATAGTTTGATATGGAGCAAATATCAAAATGAACCGACACGTGAGTCTGAATTTGTTGAATTAGGTTTACTAATCATGAATGACAATCGACAAATGTTGTCAACTGTCATTTGTTGATTGTCAGAAGAACAAGAATCCGAGTTATTGTGAAGCAGCTTTTGCGATTGATCGGGCATGATTTTCCAATGAGAGAGTATCGCTGATGGTAAGAACGAGCATAGATATAGGGGTCAGTTCGATATCCTGAGTGGAACACATTTTTTCTTATAGAAAACAATATCTCGATATTTAGGATACGTTCCTCCTCCTACCTCAAAACATCACACAACTTCAAGAACATCGCTTTGGACTGATGGTCGAGGAGAACTACATCAGGCTTGTTAGCCTGTTTTTGCATGAGGGGGGGGATGAAGAGTTCTAATGAATTCGACACCTTTCATTCTCCACAACGAACTCAATATCCCCCGAAGCATAGGGCAGCGCTGGGGCCTTTTCTATACAGTACTCAAATGATAGTAAAGCACTGCCGCACTTATTATCATCATCATCATCATCATCATGGCCTTCGACGCCACGCAGAGTCGTGCTGTATAAAATCCAGTGACTACTCCCCACAGACTGTGGGGTGAATAATCAATAGGACCAAGAACCCTGTGCCCTGAGTAAACGCAATGATCCAAGTATGACGGCCTTCTGCATTCCACCAGCCAGGATGTGTGCCTAATCACTACACGCTGGGATTTTTGGATTTCCGAGAGCAGCGTATGTCGTGTGCCTCCTAGGGACCCGATTATCAGGATGACCAATTCCACAGAATTGTCTGGATAGAGCCTGCGGATTTCGAAGAGAAGATCTAGATATTCAGTCCGTTGGTTCTCCTCCTTCAAAACGATGTTCGGTTCGGCTGGCGCCGAAAACTCGATCACGAACATCGCTTTGGTTTGATGGTCGAGGAGGACTACATCAGGCTTGTTAGCTCGCATTTGCCTGAGGGTGGGAAAAGAGAAGTTCCAATAAATTCGGCACCTCTCATTCTCCACGACGGACTCAATATCTCCCGGAGCAAAGGGCAGCACTGGGGTCTCGTCCATTCCGTACGAGTGCCTCAAATGATAGTAGAGCAGGCGCAATGCCGCATTGTGTCTATGGATGTAGGCCGAGGAAGCATACACCGTGCAAGAAGACAGCAGGTGCATAATTGTCTCGGGCGCCCTGTGGCAGGCCCTGCAATTTGTGTTAGGGACCTCCTTACCCATGACACGGCTACGGTAGACGAGAGTGTTCAAAACCCCATACTGGCATGCCATGATGATCCCCTCTCTGTTACCGAATTGAGCCCACCTGACTTGAGAAAAGCAAAAGTAGATTCTTTGGATAAGCCCGGTGTTCAACACTGAAAAAAACGAATCCCGGGAATTTCCGGTTGAATGAATTACTGTTGTCTGAACGAAACTATTGTTATTATAACAAAAAAAAACCGTTTTGAGAACAATCTGTACTTGCAATAAAACATGCCGATTCCGGTTGAAGTGACTTAGGTCGTATGGACAGGAAAACCGGTAAGTATAGCAGTTATAAGGTACTTTTAATTTATAAGGAATATTTCCTGTGTATATAAAATGATATTTTGCTATATTTACGAGTCACGACTGTGAAACATACTCAGGTCGGAACCATAATTCTAACCGGAATAAAATTCCGTGAATGTTACAGGAATATCTAGTGAAATATAATGATTTTGTAAAAATCACAGTATGGACACATCAAATTCAACAGGAATGAATGGTATTTCTTACAGAAATTCAGATGATTCTACAGGAATAGATATTGTTAGGCTAATAATATTTCAATCCATATAATATATGCCTGCCATCTCTACGATCCACGCCACCGTTCTAACTGCTCAAAACGTTGATTCCAACAGAATTCCTGTGTATCCCACAATTTAATCCGTTACTCTGGGAAGTACGCGCCAACTCGGTCATTCGCGTTGGTTCTTGGATACGGATATGTGGAATACGCCATTTTTCTGTGCGAGTGCTGTGGTTGTGATTGTGAGTTACTGCGTTCCTTAAAAAAATAATTATGTCGACCTCAAGTGCCGCTAATTCTGACTATATATATATGATCCAGCCGCCATTGTCTTGAACTTAGATCAAAGCCAAGATGGGGAAGATAGAATATATACATTGATTGGTGAACCGACTGATTCGATGGCAGTAGCCGCCAGTGACGATGATGTCGCCGGCTATTTGAGAGGATGGGGTTTGGCCAATTATATCGAAACACTCAGAAGTAAGTTTTCCTACATTTAACCTACCCTATATATCTAACTCTGTTTAAGAGATAGCATCATTTTCATAAATGTATCATTCAAACATGTTTCTTTTGCTTGTTATAGCAAACGATGTTACCCTGCACAGCCTTCCATTTCTCAAAGATGATATGGTGAAAGAGCTTATTCCCTCTATAGGGCACAGAGCTCAGTTTCTGTCCCACTGGGTGAAATGGAAGGCGTCAATGCATAGTGCTCCTACATATTTACCATCACCGAACATGGAACCATCCAAAAGTATGGAAAACACTGATGCAACTGAAAACCATGTAACGTCTGAACGCACCTCGGAACTCATGCACCACGACTCTTCTCATCAAGATACGAGAAATGTAGGTGGGTCATGTGGTTTGTTATCCTGTTATCCAGAAATCTTTATTTTATGTTTCTCTTTCATCACATTCATTCTAAACAAATTAATCAATGTTTTTTCAATAAACAAATTTTATCTTGAAACATCTTGAATATCATATTTTTATACCCAACCCATATTAGAAGTGAATACTCTGTTCAATGTGTGTTGAACTATGAAAATATTACATATAATATTCTATTGTAATTGTCTACCTGAGTTATTCCTTTGTTTGTATTCATTTGCTGATTTGGGATTGTAAAAATATACTGTCTGTCTCAATCATGGACGTAATGGTCTCAATATAATAACGAGCACCCCTAGAGGTAGTTAGCCACTGAAAATATTGTTAGTCCTTTCGTGCGCTCCAAGAGATAGAAAATGAATACCATGTTCTATCTATATCAACTGAACAGGAAGCAATGCTATTGTCTCCGTTCAGAAGAATGCAAGCGGATTCCTGGATTCTTCTCTTACGGTTATCTTCTTTTCTAATGATTTTAATATTATTCCACTCAGTTGATATAGATAGAACATGGTATTCACTACTGAAATCTGAAAATGAAAATGGAAAATTCAAGATTAATTAATGAAAACATCCTTTAACTCATTTGATTGCCAACGTCACCAATTGTCACTGAGAACTGAGTAGTGTCAAGACAAATACGAATTTGCTAGACGAATATTATCAATCTTTGATGGTGAAAACGGGAGCAGATTCGTTCCCGAAACGTCCAAAGCTAAATGAACATTTGATATTCTTTCTTCATACCTTTATTGCTCTTCTCCAAACTTTTTTCAATACAAATTGTCACTCAGAGCTAGTGAATTTTTGTTTTAGGCTCTCTGATAGGAAAATTCTTTAAACGCAGTGACATTTTGGGGCAAATCATCTGATTTGTCCTTACTACACGTATATTGGAAAATTTTTCATATTTTTATTCTGAAGAAACGAGGAGAGAAAATCCTAAAAAAATCTGGAATAATGAATGTTCCACCTCCTCGACTAACCTACAGACAGTACGAAATAGCACTCGAATACTGATAGGAAGTACCCTGAATTACAACAATGCTCCACGGTAGTGGTAACAGGAAACTTCCAGTAAAATTCCATGGAAAAAAAAGTTAACTTCAGATGGAAATTACTGTCAAAACTATGCAGATAATTGAATAGGAAATACAGGAAATTACAGTTGTATACTAGGTAACTACAGGAAATTCCTGTGAATTCACAGGTAATAAACTTCAAATACAACTAACTAGTACTGTAATGTGTGAACGAAAGTCCTTTAATTGAACAGAAAATTCCTGTTGAATCGAAACTGAAGTTCCGGTATGAGTGAAGTAATTCCTGTTTAAGTTTAGTGTTGATTACTGGAAATTCTTGTAAAAATTGAAGTTTGAAGCTCCGAATACAACTATCTAGTTCGATTATTAAACAGGAAATTCCTGTTAAATCGAAATTACAGCTCCGGTAAAACTAAGGTATAGTTCATCAAAATAACAGGAAAGTTCCAGTTGAATAAATGTAGCGATTCTGTAAATAACAAAGCAAATTCCGGTTCTCGTTGCATTATTATTTTCCTGTCAAAATGACAAACTGCAGTTTGGTTGCACTAACGGATCTAAAAATTGTTATTTCTAAAGGAATTGATAGACCGGAATTGTCACGTACAATTAACAAATATTCCTGCTGTCGCTTATATAGGGGGAATTTCCTGTTGAAATAGCCGAATTCCTGCTGTATATCCTGGTAAATTTCTTTGAGTGAATGGTCTTGAAGTAGACCGAATCCATGGGCTTATCCATGGGAAGCCGCATTATTATCATTATTATCATCATTATTATTTTTATTATTATTATTATCATTATTATTATCATTTTTTCAAATCTGAATTTATTAGGCAACAAGCTGTCGTAACAATCGCCAAACATGTCTGGCAAAAAAGTAGCACCCGAAACATTACCTACATATATGACATGGAACAATAATTGTTTCTACTATTCACATCGCTGATTCCAATAACATATTAAAACCGGGACAATATCAGTAAATTCGGTCCAGAATGGTCCCATGAAGTGATCTAATATTTTGCTAAAATAATGTTAGCAATAAACATCCACAGTTCTCCGATAACAGTCGCTGATTCGATAAATGCCAAAACGCGTTTCCATAGCCTACATAACGGATGCCATAAATTCATCGATATATGGGTTATGGCTGGAGATTGTGAAAGAGGAAACATCAAGTAGGCTGGATATCATCGAGACGGCCATACGTGATGTGCTCCAGAAAACATCGACTGTTTCAATTCGAAATATAGAGAAAGAAGGAATTTTGCTGAACTCTACAACACTAGAAACGTGATCTCGTGAGTTCTTTGAAGTACAATCGATGAGCCATAAAAACAGAATTCAGTTTCTTTTATATTCATCACTGACGTTACATCAAGTAATAATTTCTGTTATGTTTTCCATTAACGAGTGAAAAGTCGTGAGTGAGAATATAATCAAACAACAATAAATCATGAATTTCTCTAAACTTTATATCGCATTTTTCTCCACCTGGTGACAGAAAATGAAATTTTAATATAACTTCTACATCAAAATCTAACTCTTCACCTGGCCCTTAGATATGATATCTTGGTATCCTTCACAACAACATCTGCATTTTCTGAAACCATTAAGTATGTAATATATTGAATTAGGAAAAATACCTATAGGCTCATAAGAGTAATCAATAACTTTTTTGAATTGACTCGGCGGTTACTTGAAAATCCATAGTAAATATAAGAAACTCCACAAAACTTCACAAACAACAATACAAAAACAATACTCGTACAATGAACACTGCATTTCAAGAGTATCTCACCTGAAGAAGGTACTTTCCTAGCGAAACATGTTGTATATTATTAAGAATTTTGTGGAAATCTTATCTATTGTGCAGTTTTTAAGAATCAATGACTTTGTTGGATATTTGAAGTCTTTAAGAAGTAGGATAATAAATTTTTGAGACAACAATAATGTACTTATTTCACTCGATTACTTGGGATTTACTATTTTCCTTCTTCTGTATAGCTGGACTAAGGTGGAACCACCAATTCCAGATGAGAATTATAGCACTATCGTATTTTCTCCAATAGTGATAATGATAATAGTAAATTGCCTTTGTTGTTCTTACGCTATTCTAACTTAACCCCTATATCACAATATAAAGGGACTCACAATGGATTACTTCAACATATAGTAATTGAATTACGTTTATTAATACTCAATGACATCAATATATTTTGAATTTATATATATTTATATTAATGCATATATATCCACATTCATTCCCCCGCCCCCCCCCCCCTTCATCTTCTTAACCCATATACAAATAGATAAATTCATATAACATATAGCAACCGATCTAGATGTTGACAAAATTTGAAAAATCATGGAACTCAAAGGTATTTGAATAAATTATCAATTCTCAACTAACCTCGTTCGTTTATTTTTGTCGATACTCTATCATATTTGCAAAGACCAAAAAAAATTCTATACAACAGTAATGTTGGATCTTCTGTAATCTCTGTTTAGTTACTTTATGTAGACAGAGAAAATATAATATTATAGGTTTAGTACCTAGTGTAGTAAACTATTGAAACGTTTTATCCAGACAACATCTCGGTGCCCTAGAATTGGTTTGTATCCCGCTATAAGCTGAAGGTCCTGCTCTTCCTCACACCTCACAAGTATCGACTCATGCGAAGTTGGTTTTCTACGTCAAAGTATAGCGATATGAAGATCATTATCGGATTATCATTGTTTCATCACAATCAAGATATGACACCCTGTAGCTACCTCGGAAATACAATAGTTTTGGACATATTATCATGGGATTTTTTCTTAGGGTTTTGACACGCTCTATATAAAATTTTTGAAATGCACTCTTCATTTTGCTGAGTACTAGCTATAAACATCCTCAAAATATGGGAAATATTTGAGATCTTGGATAGATTTGCTTTCCTATCACAGATCAAAAATAATTATATACTTTCAACGAGAGACCTGGGAAACAAATTTATCAATGAGTGCTATCTAGTATGGCAACAAATAGTTTTTTTTCGTTATTCTTATTGTTTCTGCATATTCAAAATCATCAAAAACAATTAAATCCGGGAACAAGAGAGTGTTCGATAATGGACATAATATTTTAATAGTAACTTTTTGAGTTTTTTGGAGACCCTCTATCACCGTTTGGAGTGCATTCGACATAATTATCATCAAACACTCTATAAACAAAACCTCAAATTCTAATCCTAATTTAGATCTTCAACACATCTGTTGTGGGATATCGAATGATCTTCACATTCAGACACTCTGTATTGAAAAATCCACGAGAATATTTGAAATTCAATTCGCGTTCCTTTCAAAGATCAAAGAAAATAATATACTTCCTGTTTTTCCGATACAAGCGTTGGTAACTCTTGCTCTTTGTGTTGAAGTATTTTCTAGAGAGGTGCTCATTAAATATTGTGGTTTGGATATTTCAGCAGCAAAAGTTATGCTAGAATTCACATTACTTGCTGCCCCTTTGACACTTCCTTCCGTGATTTCTGTACAAAGTTATGACATAAGTTTGCAAGACATTTCAATGGAACGATTCCAATATTTGTGGTTGAAGAAAAAATAAATTGATGTAAGAAGTTGATGACTGATATTCGTCTCTCTCTCTCTACAGACAGCACCAGAAATTTATTGAATATTCATAGAATATTCTCTTTGGGTATTGGGAATATTCATGAATATGCTGGGGATGAATGTGCTGGTGGTAAAGAATGTATATATTCCCAGAATAATACACAAGGAATATTCCTTATAGGTATATTCAGAATGTACCTACAATATTCTAGGAATACCCAGATAATATTCATACCTGAACATTCCCTGAACATTTCAACTGGAATATTTTGGGATTATTCTCCTTTGAATAACCCTCCTGGAATATTCCTTATACATTAGAAAAATAGTGATCACGAACTCTGATGCCGTGAAATCATTACTGATTATTTAACCGAAAGCGACCCCGAATTTCGAATTCCAAATAAGTTCTCTGTATAATATATTCTTCCATTTTTCAATTCATTTTACATACACCAGCAGTTTTGCCTGATCAGAATGTAAAATGATTGATGGTTAATATAACAGTCACCATAAATTATTGGCAATGATGGTCTAAGACATTTTAGCTGATTTTTGTGAAACAAAAACAACAGGATAACTCAACGCCATTCTTTATTATTTTCAGTTGCATATGAAAAGGGAGGAATGGGGAGAATTGATATTGCGAGATATCGTTTAACACATTATTGTTCATTCGCTAAAGATTTCATCGCCCTTATGATAAATGTCAATGACACAATAAAATCGACCTACTAGGCTTCGTCAATTTTGATTACTATTGCCCTAATATAACTAATCTATGTTCACTGTGGTCACATTGTTTAAAAAATCAATTTCCGCCCTCAAGAGGTTTGAAATTTGCTAACAAACAAGTTGCAATCAGAATGTTCATATTTTTATAATATTTTTTCCATCCCCATTATTAATCCACATGGTGAGTGAGGTGAGTATTGGAATAATTGGTGGGTAAGTTTCTGAGGTAACAACAGAGAAAACAGTTCCAGAAAATAGGTTGTTTCAACGCTTTTGTCGATAGCAGAAAGGCAATCTTCAAAGAATTACTTTACGACTACAAGAATCACGTTTATGTTCGTAATATGGGGACAATTGCAGACGATTCAGTTTAAAGTACTGTGTTATCAGGGAAACGTGATCCTTTTAATTCTGGATTCCAAACCGTAAAATATAATAGCACGGTGGGATTCCCCACAGAAAATGAAGCTCTTGTACGTGAGAGTTTGAAAATTGTGGAGTTCTTTATAAAGGATTCCAGAGCTGAATTCTCGACGATGTCAATGTCAAATGTAGTGGATCAAGGACACGTTGTATAGAAGGTTATCTTTATTGAACATTGAGTTGGTGTGGGAGAGACGAAGCCATAACACGGGAATAAAAATCAAAAAATGTATTCCATTTCTCAAGTCTTCCTTGTTCGAATGAATAGATACATGGATTTTGTGGAATGAATATTTACCTCCGTCTCTTTTAGTTGATGAAAAAGCTATGGACTTTATTTTTTCTTCATTGAGGCTCAAATGATTGTTTCTTAGCGAGATGTGAATGAGGTTCATTCCGATTTCTGCATTTTCGTATACCTAACTCCAAGTATATCATCCACAACTACTACAGCCGTATCAACTGCGTAAGATATTAGTTGACTTCCAAAATTGCTTATTTTGAAAATATCATTTACGTAGAGCAGGGATGAAATAGGATATATTGGATCATAACTCTCCTTTGAGGTATATGAAAAGCCTTGACTAGGTCTAAAAATATGGTGAGGCATTTGTTTTGATCCACAAAACAATGGAATATTCTTTGATAATTCCAACCCGGTTTGTTCAGTTCTCTTTGAATCCATACTCAGAATCAGAAAGTATATTATTGAATACTGTCTGTAGGTTAATCGAGGAAACTAGATATTCAAAAGCAGATCAAAAAACACAGGAAAACAAAACAACTATATCCTCAATTTTCTCGATTAAAATCGAATTCAATACTGGAAAATATTTGAACAAGTCTATTTTCCTCTCCAAATTGCAATCCGGGTGAATCACAAGGTATTGAAGATAACATTTGATACAGATACAACAATGGACAAAGAATAATCCCTGTTCTACAACATACGGTCATGTACAGGGTGGACCAAATTGGGCACTATTTCTGTGCAAAGATAGAAAAAACTGAGGTTGGTGCCTGTTGATCAATCCACATAACAAACCCAAAGGTGGAAACCGCAAATCGATATCTATCTTTATTTCAGAGTTACAAGGTTTTTTCCAAAAATGGGAATTTTTGAAAAGTAGCTGAAACCCTTTTTTTGTGTTTGTCATGAAAATTGATCCTCAGGCACTGAAATCAATCACCGTATACCTCGTTGCAAAATAGAACTTTTCCTTCATGAAGAACAAGTTATATTCTTGAACTAGATATAATATAGGGAGGCCGATTTCAATGCCTCGAGAAAAATTTTTTACACAAACTCAATGCGTTGCAGTAATTTTCATGAGAACAAACAATATTTGCCCCAAGAAATATCTATAGCCACTTTTCAAAAATGCCCATTTTCGAAAACCACCTTGTAACTCCGACACGAAGACAGATATCGATATGTGGATTTCATCATTGAGTTTTTCATAAGAGTCGACCCTCAGGCACCGAAATAAGAAGAACTTATGACCTCCAAAAGTAAAAAAAAACCAACACCTGCCTCCTCTCCCTATCCTGCCTATAGATACGCAATATTATAGGAATTTCCTTTCGTGCGCTCCAAGAGATGAAAGGAAGAAAAACTCTTATATGTTTCCACAAGAACATTGAAGTTTTGCCTATATAGAATGAGTTTCTGAAACTTTTCAGAAATGCACAATTTCGAAGAAGACCTTGTAACTCTGAAACGAAAATAGATATTGATATGCAACCGACATCAGGAGTCTTCTATCCAGTTCGAGAATAGAACTTCACCTACAAAAGTGTCCAATTTGGCCCACCATGTAAAATTTCAATCACCAACTAGAGGTACCTTTTTCCATTCTATCAGGTGAGGTTACTTTAATTGCTGTGAGTTATTCAACTTGCTGCCAACTTTGCGAACTACCTCAATAGCTTTTCGCAATTGAATCTTCCTTCCATTAGCAAATTACTTATATACCTAGTACACTACGGAAAAAGAGAACAAGGAATAAATGCAAGATATAGTCAAAAGATTAATTATTCATGTTTTATGTCTAGAGAAGGAATTGAGTCTGGTGATTAATTATTGAACTAGCAGCTCATTAGGTGTCAAGTTCGATACGAATTCAAGGGATTGCAGTCATTAGTTATAATAATAATAATGATATCAATAATACTAATAATAATTATAATAATGATAATAATAATAATAATAATAATAATGATAATGATAATAATGACACACGCTGCTCTCGGAGATCCAGAAAATCCCAGCGTGCCATGATAAGGTACACATCCTGGCTGGTGGAATGCAGAAGGCCGTCATACTAGGATCATTGCGTCTACTCAGGGCACACGGTACTTGGTCCCAGTGATTATTCACCTCACAGGCTGTGAGGAGTAGTCACTGGATTTTATCCAGCACGATTCTGCGTGACGTCGGAGGCCGCAGGGTCGTGACTGGAATTATCTGAACTCAAATAATAATGATAACATGGATAAGCCCATGCATTCGGTCTACTTCAAGACCATCGAAGACCGGGGCTTATCCAAAGAACTGACTTTCGTTCAAATGGGGAACAGAGGGGTTCATCATGGCATGCCAGGATGGGGTTGTTTACACTCAAGTTTACACTCGCATCTACCGTAGCCGTGTCATGGGTACGGAGGTCCCTGGCACAAATTGCAGGGCCTGCCGCAGGGTGCCCGAGAAAATTGGCTAGGCTCTGGAATTGGCTAGGCTCTGGAATTCATTGCCTGTGGAAGTATTCCCAACAACATATAATCTCCAAAAGTTCAAAAAAATTCCAATACCTACCTCCTGTCCCTATCCTCCCTAGGAACGCACGATGTTCTTTGAACATTATAGGGATTCCCTTTCGTGCGCTCCAAGCGATAAAAAAAATTATGCACCTGCTGTCTTCTTGCACGATGTATGCAATCTCAGCCAATATCCATAGACACAATACGGCATTGCGAGTGCTCTACTACCATTTGAGACACTCGTACGGAATAGACGAGACCCCAGTGCTGCCCTATGCTCCGGGGGATATTGAGTCCGTTATGGAGAATGAGAGGTGCCGAATTTGTTGGAACTTTTGATTCCCAACCCTCAGGCAAATACAAGCTAACAAGCCTGATGTAGTCCTCCTCGACCATCAATCCAAAGCGATGCTCGTGATCGAGTTTTCGGCGCCAGCCGAACCGAACATCGTTTTGAAGGAGGATAACAAAAGGACTATATATCTAGATCTTCTCTTCGGAATCCGCAGGCTCTATCCAGATCATTCTGTGGAATTGGTCATCCTGATAATCGGCTCCCTAGGAGGCACACGACATACGCTGCTCTCGGAAATCCAGAAAATCCCAGCGTGCAGTGATAAGGCACACATCCTGGCTGGTGGAATGCAGATGGCCGTCATACTTGGATCATTGCGTTCACTCAGGGCACACGGTTCTAGGTCCCACTGATTATTCACCCCACAGGCTGTGGGAAGTATAGTCTATCCAGCACGACTCTGCGTGGCGTCGGCAGAGTCGTAATAATAATGAAAGTTATGATGATAATAATAATGCATTTATTGGACAAGACGATTTGCAACACAGTGAATGAAACAATTATCATGTCCCAGGCGAGGTTCAGATACTTCCCCAAGAGGGAGCCCTACTCTGTAATTCCAACCAAACTTGGACTGATTTCAGAAATATTCAATGAAATCAATAACTCCCATGGTAGATGATGGAGAAAAACAGCTATAGGTGCATTGAAATACATCCTCCCGAAATCTATGCATCGCTTCGGTATAAACGAATAATCATTGCAAGTGGTCCTTTTCTATTCCTGAATGCCAAACTGTCTTGTGGCCAGGTAAACGCTTTACACCTACAGACAAACTGGTTACGAGCTTTTGGCAATCATCAGTATCAGTGTAAAAATAGTTCGAAGGCGGCCATCTTAACAAAATCTTACCCAACGACCCAACGACTCTGGCCAATGGTGATATGAAAACAACGATATCCAAAGGGCGAGGAACAATTCAAAACTAAAATACCATTTCGGGTAGAAATGGGAGACGGCTGATTACCCGACTAACGTTATTTCAACTAAAAGATAGCGGACTCCACTCAAAGGGGAATGGAATATTGATAACATGAAAATGTTATTGTATGATCAGCACATCACTGAATGAAAATTATTTCCTACTTTTCAGCACAATTTCGCATTGGAGGAAGAAAACAATTCTGCATTATTTATGAAAGGTTACTTCAATCCCACACCTTCCCTTTGACGATAAGAGGCGCCGCCATATTCAGATCAAAATCATGTAATGTAGCTTATCATATTCTACTCATCAAACCACTTCATTTGAAACTCATGTCAAGGAGCTTGTTTAGAAAAATGTGATCATGAGGTGTCTGCCATATCAGATAGAGAATGACGTCATGTCATCGTTATCTTCTGAGCAAATCGTTCCATCAGATACATCTTGAGGCATCCGAAATTTTTGGATTGAGGACCATATCAGATGATCCTCGAGATAATCTAGGCAGATCTGGAAGAAGATTACTGGCATAATCAAGTATACAACTGGACTACTCTACATTGTGTTGGGAACAGTAGTCCTACAATGTCTTACTTCAAAACACATTGAGAATGTTGTATATGTGCCAGCAAGTCTGTTTATTGTATTACAAGTTTGTCAGTACGATCAGAAAAGAGTTACATTTTAATTACTAGATTTATTGGAAATGCCTAAGGAAGTATCACCAAGAATTATAACATCCAAAAGAAACTCCAATGGTAGGTTTCCTCTCTCCATCCTTCCTAGAAAGATTTTTCCCACTAAACATGATGCATTACAAAAATATCTTCCAGATATAAATGAGTTTTGTGATATTGTTGAAGTAACGTTGCGATAATGTTCTTCTGAAGTATCCAACATAATATTAAATAATGAAGGTAAACGTTTATGAGACGTTGGATCAATATTGAAATCAATATTATCAGATAATATTGTAATATATTGATTTTATGTTGTTCAGAAATATCTCAGACAGAGTTGTTATGTTATTTGTGCACCGTTTTCGCTTCACCACCTTATAACGTAACTTACATATATACAGGATACAAGAGGATAATATTTATATATCTTTTCATGATTTTTTTCTACGGCAAAGTAACCTTGTCAACTATCAAAAGGCTATTCATTTCCATTCCAGCCATTTTGTTCGTTGCGTACTACGGTGAACAGGTCAATCAGTGTGATCCGTAAAAATATTGGTTCTCAGATATTATTCGTAGTTATCAAAGTAAGTGAAGAACTAAACAAGTCTTGGACTGAAAAAATTCGAATGAAAATATGAATTGCTCACGATACATACTTAGATTCCAGACTTGCTCTGCTGAAATATAGAAATGCAACCAATCTGTATATCTGTATTCCATGATATGTGAAAAAGTAGGATGGTATTCGTAAATACGGATTGTTTTCATGTTTCACGAATGACAAAATTGATGTGATTAATGAGTGAGTTATATACCAGCAGAAGCAGAACATAGTCAGAATTGAATTTCAAAATCAAGCAGGAAACTTCCAGAAACTCGTATATATATTCACCTATTACTTTTCAGAATACAATATGACAATATGGTTCATTAGGAGATCACTATGCAGAAATCATATACCTAAGCTAGGTATGAAAATTAGTAGTTAATCTGTCTGAAAATATCACTGTGTAACTGGATCATAGTTATGGTCTTTCAGCAGTACGGCAAGATCAATGCAATAAAACAGTTATATTCAGGGATATATCAGCTTCTCTGTCCTTTCTGAAGATCATTCAGTTGATTCTCTTGAATTCTCTTGAATTCCAGAAAAAAATAGACATTACCTATAAACCTCACCATTAACATTACATTGTAATATTCAAAAGAGGCACAAAGTCCCATTGCCATTACGATGTTCCACAAACGCAATGGGAGGTCTCATTGCACTCTAGAAGGAAGTCTGTCAGTCATCACCTTCTGTTCCACAGTCACCAAGTGAAGGACGTGATATCAACATGGACGCTAATAACGAGAGTTAATAAAAAACTGAGGCACTAATTTATAATTAATTCAAAGTTAACATTACCCTATACCTAAATTCTACCTATTCTAAATTATATCATATCAGATGACGAAAAACAAAACCGCCGGAATAAAAATCATACAAGTGAAACCTATCTAAAAAACGATTAATTGTGGATGTTGAACAAACTTTTGTTGCCTGTTGCCTGAACTTTTTCAAATAAATGATGATATATTATTACTTCGCCTGTCTCCTGCCACCATTTGTTTTACGATCCTATAATAATTGGGCATCCGAGCCCAATTCTTTTATATAGCGAAAACTTCCACCTGGATGACATTCTATGGAGAAAAGTTTCGAAAAAAACACTGAATTTCAATCAAGTTGTCGTGCCCTATATTTTTTTATAGTTATAAAGATCTTAGTCAACATCTAAGCTGCTCAACTGTTCGGTCAGATTTGCATCATTCCAACTCCCTACGAACTAGACAGATACTGCAGAATCATATAAGTTACTGAGCGATTGATTCATAAGATAACTAACTTCGATTGCTTCAAACTTTTTAATGCTCTTTCCTTCAAAAATACTTGAATTTCTTTCCTTGTCTCTCTCAAGAAGACTGATTCAATACATAACGTTTCATGTTTAATCATTTCAATGTTTTGATAATTCTTTAGTACTCCCACCTCTATTCTTATTAGTAGCGCTCTCATCTCTATATCATGCAGAGTTTGGTAAAAACCCTAACGTCAAGATGTTTTCATGAAAATACTACTCTATAAATGTCTCTGACGAAAAAAAAACACTTCCTGCAGACCATGAGACCAATCTGTATGATTTGGTTTTATTCGAAGATTATCGATCGCCGTGTAACACAAATAATAAAACCGTCATCGAGGAAAAGGAAAGAAAAAAGAAAATTGGTTGTGGAAATCGAAATTTACGATCTGTTGAATTCGATCATGAATTTCAGATTTTACGTTTCCGATATTCGGCAGGTTATAGCATTAAACCTCGATATTTCACTTCGACATAAAATTGGGATGGAAGTTATCTCTCACCTTCTGAATAGTTGAAGATAGCATATCCACCGATGGATTGAAGATAATCTGTTTCATTAATCTCACTGATTCGCCTGTTGGAATTGTTGTAGCAATCCAGAGTATTATCTTCAGTGCAATAAGTAGCAGTCGCTTTTGCCTTCTCTTGTAGGTATGCTGATTCTTCTGAAACTATCTTCTCCGGATTCGATATTATGAACACAAAGATAGGCATCAGGAGATAGTTCATTCTGGCTCCGATACTAGTGGAACTAGTGCACGGAATATATCGATGTCATTTCACCTGGAACGAAAGAAAATACTATACCGGGTGTTCTAGATCTTTCCATACAGCCAACGCTCCACCTCGCAAATGCAAAATTCGCTTGTCAAACAAAGTGTCACTTTTTATCCTAATAAAACAATATTCTTGATGACCTCTAGTATGTACATCCTTTTCAGGTTGAACTTTAGCTCTCAGAAACTAAATGTGTTGCCTAGCAACATATCTATTTTTGTGTCAGTAATAAAAACGTCGATTCAATAGCTAATTTTGGTATTAAAATGGACGACTTTCGTGTTGGTTGCAGAAAAATCAATATTCATCATACATGGCGTGGAATGAAATTCTGAATTGAGAAAACAAAACAAAAAAATTACAAGTTTCCATCGTTCAAGTTTGAACCCCTTGATTGGTTGAAAGTTTTGGAATATTCTCAAATATGATGATGAACAAAAAAATGGATATATATATATATATAAAGAAATTCATTGAGAATTGGCATTCTCTATGTGATGAAAATATCAATTCTTTCTCGGTTCATTCAATAGGAAACGAAGTAGTTGTTTTCTGTTGAATAAAGCAAGAAATAATTGATATTTTCATCACATAGAGAATGGGAATTCTCAATGTATTATTTCTTTATATATATCCATTCTTTAATGATCATAGTCATATTTAAAAATATTCCTTTTCAATCGTAATCGTTGCTCAATTTTCGTTTTTTTTTTGCCAAAGCATCAACTTTTTTATAACAAATGTAAGGTACATTTTAGTGTAACCTAGGGATACCTAAACTTGCTCATACTGTTACAGAAAACTCAAGAAATGATTTTCACAAAGTTTTCAAATATTGTGAAGTTTTTCATGGAGTACCTGAATTGATTGATTTGAAATGAGAATTTGTTTCTCAGTACACAAGTTGTCTCGAATGAATTACTAAAAAAACAGCAATTAGCGATTATTGACGAGTTCGGCTCAGTTGAAAGTAGCCTTTCCAAAATTTTGGATATTCTGTTTTTTGATGAACTCGCCGATTCTGAGTTGATAATTATGTATGTTCGAAACCATGAAGAATATTATAACAAAGTTACTTTTCCTGCAAAAAACTTCCTAATATGATTTCATAAAAAATCGATTCTTTCTATTATTTCAATCAAAATGTACGGCACTGTCCACAATTATTTTTGTCCCTGATTATTTTGATGGTTATCCATAGTATAGTCCAAATTCGGTAACAATCGCACGACTAAAGGTATGTTCATGCTTGTACGAATTATAAATATATGATATTCCCAACAGAATTCGACGTTCACACTTATGCTACAAAATTGGCAGGGGATAAGGGTTCTGTTGCCATATAAAGTTTATGCATTTCTGGTCCCACCATTGATTGAAGTTCATCAAATTGAAGGCACTTCACACGGAAGTAATTGTAATATTCTTCAGAGTAATCTTGTCATTCAGTCGTATTTATCGAACGGGGCTGTAATATTCTCCATAAATTGTTGGGCATTTGAAAATGTTTCGAGCTCTGGTACTGGTACTGGTGGGGGACGTTTCCACGTCAGCAACTAGTCCCCAATGGGACCTTTTTGCAAACCCCAAGTGTTTTCAATGACTGATGTGGTTCGCTCAAGAGAGCTGGCTAACATCCTTTTCAGGCACCGCCCATCAGCTCTCTTTTCAGAGTTTTTCAGCTGTGTTTTGTAGGCTAGTAATGTACTCACTACCATATGAGCAGTGGCAGGCCTGCTTACTATCATCGTTAACCCCCGAGACCGAGGTCTACTTAAGCAGCTGGCCCGCTCTCACGCTCAGCTGGTAGTTTTCCACACCCACCTACATACACCGTCCTACTTCTTCTCTGATGCTCACAACCACATCATCATATCTTTCTGCGTGTTCTGTGTAGGCTTTGTTACTAACTCCATGCGCCACTTTAGGAGCAGCACTGTTAATTGGAACGCAACAGCGAATCGTGCAGGACTATCCCCAGCCGATGCTCCGAAACTTTACAATATTTAATTCGTAAATAAAATATTGAAAAAAGTTCCTTGCCCGTGCTGGAAATCGAACCCACGACCTTGCGGTCGTGAGACGGACGCTCTTCCACTGCGCCAATCCCGGTTCAAATGTTTCGAATACTACAGCTCCTTTACTGCGTCAAATGATTCATTTAAATTAATTCGTCCAGAGAATCCATCCTGCGAAGAAATTTCAGTCGAATGAAGAAATTATAATTTTGTGTACTTACTTGTAGTTTAGAGTGTCTAGTCTTGTATTTTTTCGGCCTTTGCTGTACACTCCCTAACTCCCCGATTTTGATATCAAAATAACAACACATTTTATGCATACTGTGTGGTTATGATTCCATCCGAATTCGTAAAAGGGTTCAAATATTTCAGCTTCATTGCGATATTCGCAGTCGCTATTTTATTCGCATGAATTTTGCGGAATTCGTACAAGCATGAACATACCTCAATACCTGTGATGTAGAAAGGGGGGAAGTATGCATTCAAAGTGAGACACGCTGTATATGTACATATGTGTGCATAAAAAAGTCGTACAGCAGATATAGGCTATTGTGAATCGGGCTTGTCAATCTTGATTAATATTCTCATCGACTTTAACAAGAAGTGTCAAAATTCAAACTATTTTTGTCACTAACGCATTTTCAACAATTTTCTAGTGCAGTTAGTGTAATGCCTCGCCTAAATAATTTTGAAAGACCTCAAATAATTGTTTATTTTCAAGATGGTATGTCCATGAGAGATATAGCCCATATTATGAATGTGAATAAGAAGACCGTGCCAAGCATAAAGCACAGATGGGAGGTAACGTGTATTGAAAAAAGCCAACTGGGAGACCCAAAACAACTACGCAAGAAGAAGATAATGCACTCTTGCGGTATTTGGAGGACAATCCCTTTGAGGTAGCGCGGAATGCTATTCGGCATACAGCATTTCCTGCATCAAGATCGACAGCAAATCGTAGAATTGAAATATCGCATATAAAAAACTATGCTGCTGCCAAAAAGGTAATTCTGGGAAATGAGCATAAACAGGCAAGAGTTATTTTCGCTTTGAATAACATTTTACGCGAAAACTAGAATAGAGTAGTTTTTACCGATGAAAAATCATTCCAGTCATGCTTTAATGGACATATAAGAGTGTACAGACCTAGAGGAACAAGGTTTGCTGAAGAATTTGTTCAAAACTCGAGGATTGGGCGTGTGCTGGATTATCAATGAAATATTTAACACTGTTACGTACAGGGATATTTTGGAGAATATAATGTTACCAAGTGTTTCAGAACATTTTCCCGATCAAAATTTCATATTCCAACAAGATAATTGCCCGGTCCACAATGCAGCAATCATTACACAATGGTTCGAACAGTAAAATATAGAGCGATTAATGTGGCCGCAAAAAGTCCCGACATTATTATTATGGAAAATGTTTGGGGTCTTATGACTAAGAAAATTCACAGAGTCAACTTCCGACCAAACACAATTGAAGAGCTGATTAATTTCATAGAAGAAACGTGGGACGAATAAGAAATCTGATAAGGAATCTTTATGCTTCGATAACTAATAGACAAAATAAAATAATTGAAAATAATGGCGCTATATGACCAATTATTAATATAGTTTGAATGAAGCTTAGTTATTGTGTTAATTGTTATAATGTTATGTATTGAATTTATTCAATTTTGTTCAATTTTGAATAATCATTTGAATTCTAATATAATAAAGTTTGAAACAACACAAAAGTTCCAAATGTGTAAGTGTACTACTTTTTAATGAAGTCTGGAACATTACAGGCAGGTTTACACCATAAAAACCTTGTACGACTTGTTTATGCACACAACTGTACTTGATATCCTGAAAGTTTTTTTTTGCTTGAATTCGGTAGGTGGTTTTGCAAAATGCTGCTCACTCAACACCTCAATTTGTTTTTATAATTATGAATTCCTCGGTCATCAGAGGAGACCTAAATTGCTGTGATGTAGAGGAGGAGGAGTATACATTCAAAGTGAGACACGCTGTATATATATATACTTCATATCCTGAGAGTCCATTTTTCGATTTGAATTCGGGTAGCTGGTTTTGCAAAATTCAGCTCACTCAACACCCCAATTTGTTCTTATAATTATAAATTCCTCGGACATCAATGAAGGTAGACAGAGTTCTCGTAATGAAGGCATTTCGTTGTCGAAATTCCTATTTATCATCCAATGTCAAAGAAAACTGATACTTTATTTCCCGATAGGATTACTCCTTAATGAACTACGCGAACGTGAAAGAGAATTCATTCTTCCAGACCTAATTTAATATTTGCGAAACAGAGATTAGTTGACTAATGAGAATGAAATTTCAGGATATTTGATTTTCCCAGTCGTTGTGGGTTTTTTCTGAGAAAAGAGAGAAGCAGTGGGATTGGAGACCGAATTGATCACTCTCTACCAATACAGGGTAGGTATCCTGCAGGTTGATGTAAACCTTTTGTCAGAAGCTGAGAGCCTAAATTATTCCAAACCTACCTCAGTACAATCGAAAAAATATCGAAAGCATGGATTGAGTGATGTATTCTTCGTTTGAAAACAACAATTATATGTTACTTTGAGGTGTGTTTTGACTGATCAATAAGTTGAACCGATAATGTAGCCCTTCAGGCGGGGAAAATAGAAACAGTGATTGTTATAGCACGTTATTCGCTTATGAACCATCTGAGAGGTGAATGTAAACAAGTTTATTGGATAATCAAAAATTTGTGGACACCTCAACATTTGAAAAGAAAAGGGCCTATAACATAAAAACGGAGTCAATATATAGAAACAGAAGGTTTCACACGAAAAGAGAAATGTTAGCTTGTTTCAATTTTCTAGATTATATCTTGATTTTTCCTCACCTTACTATATGAAGTATATTCAACAATGCACAGGTGTCATAATCACACAATCATGTTCGACTAAAATAAGGAAACAGTGTTGTCAATGTAGTGTTGCCGTGTATTTATTAA